CCTCCCCCGCCGGCCGGCTCGCTCCTCCCCGCGCTCCTCATCCCCCGCGCTTCGGGCCACGGCACTGACCGCCGAGCGCACGCGCGCTCCATGGCGCACGCGCGCTGTGGGTCCTTCCTGCGGCTGGAGCCTTTGTCTTGTCTGGAGGGTTTCTCCCTCCGGAGAGCGGCAGGGTGGCACCTTGGGGTAGGGAAGGGACTGGATGCTCAGCCTCCAGACCTGTCGCCGGTTTTCTTCCTAGTCTTGGGGTAATGTCCTTGCTGAGAAGGGTCCTGGCGGTATTCCACGTGGCCAGCTCCCCCCCTCTTCTCCCCATCCGCCACCTCCAGGCAGGCCCCTGGCGCGTCCCGCTCACGCCGACCCGGCACCCCACACCCCCCTCGCCTCGCTGAGTTTCCCGAGGCTGTACCCCCAGCGGGAGATCATGTTCCCTGAGGCGACTGCGTTTCAGTCTGCTTCCTTTACTCCTTTTTTGTTATTAACCAAGGTGAATTCTTTCCTTAGCAAATCCTCTTAACACAGACTGGGTTGTAATGTGGTAGTGCAGGTTTTTTTTTTTTTTTAAAGAGACATTTAAATCGTTATTTTAAAACTTGAACGCGACCCTAGAATAAAATCTGAAATTAGACAAAGACCTAAATGGTGCGTATCGCATTTCAGAACGTATTCATATACAGTTATTTATATCTCAGTAGTTGAAACACCATTAAACTGTAAGTCGAACTTGCCATCTTGAGATCTGGCAGGAATTGTCACCTGGATGACACACCTCAGGGGGAAAGTGACCAGATCTGCCTAGTCACCTGCGCTTGGCCTTGGCTAGTGTCCCCTAGTGGCTAACAGGGCTGGAGGTCCCCCCAGGTGCGGGTAAGGGCTGTCCTAGGGAGGGTGGACACTGATCCCGAAGCTTTCCTTTGCAAAGCTCTTACCTTCTTTATTTTTGAAAATGATATCGTATGTTCTGTAACATTTAAAAATGTGAAATGTATTTAAAGTTTTAATCACATGGATTTAAGCAATACTATCGTCACAGGGATTTTTTGTTTTTACAAGGAACTTCGAGTGATGGATGGAAATTGACTGGTTCTGCACCTCTGGAACTGGCCTTTCTGTTCTTGTTCCAGCTGCCAGCCTAGCTCAAGACCCTTACCTTGGCTCTGGACACCCTGCTCTGAGTCTCCCTGTTTCCGACCAGCCTATCTCCCCCAGTCAGGTGAGTTTTCAGAAGCAACCATTTTAATCTGGCACCATTTTGTTCACGACTTACACCCTTTGAACTGCCCCCTATGTGAAACAAAAGTCCTTAGTCTTAAGCTCTGTCACCCCAGCTCCCCCGGATCTGAGCCATGTCCTCTCTGCTTTTCTCTCTCATCTACTGTCAGCCAGCTCTTCCCCATCTCCACTCTGGGGTCTTCCCTTGCTACAGGATTCCTGATCTTTCTTCTCCCCTCCTTCCGCCCTCCCGCCCCCATATACTATCTAGCCTTCAAACCTGGCTGGCATTTATCAAAGCCTCCCCTCGTCACGCCAGCTGGAAAGGACTTTCTGACTTCTCCATGGTGAAGTTACACATTTTCTCCCCGAAAGCACAGGGGGCCTGCTATCCTTCTGCAGGACTAAAGTCTCATTCTCCCCAGTTGTTTCCGTTCCCCTTTTCCTGTATCCTGACAGTGCTTGGGGCTGTGTGACCTTTATCTGCTAGACCTGGTCAGTGCCATGTGGGGGGCAGCGTGAGCCCATACCCTGCTTCCACACGTGTCCCGCTCTCCTCCACCACCAGGAAGGCTGCTCCTTCGGCTTAGATGCCAGAGTTGAGGGGTCATTCCGGATAATTTAATCACGATGGGTAGCTAATGTGTGATTTTAGGCCAAGAAGATGCATCCCCTTTCTTTCTCCCTGCCCCTCTCCTTTACTGAAATAGCAATCTCATGACCTTGGTCAGCTTGATGTTCTTCCCACAGAATCATAGAGGTCCGTGGCTCAGTGAAAGAGTCAGCTCCTAATCTTAGCCATTATGCGTGACCTTAGATGAATTCATTTCACTTGGCTTCAGCTTCTTTAATAGTGTTCCACATGGGACTAGAACTAAGATTCAGCTCCCTACAGAATTGGGGAACTTTATTTGCACACGGTTTTAGTCAAGGCAAGTGAAGGTGTTACTACAAATAGACTCCCAAATGTAATGGCTTGAAAACAACCTCCGTGAGAGACTGAGGGGCCGTGCGGCCCCCTCCACGTGAGGCTGGGGTCCCAGGCTCCTCCACTGGTGGCTCGTCTCTCCTTAAGCCTTGTCTGTTGCTTGGTCAAAGCTGAGTCTGTTGTCAGAAGGGGAAGCAGCAAATAGAGGAAGCACAGAGATCCTTTAGAGGCCGGCGACCGCATCTGATCCTGTTCCACTGTTAGAATTTAGCACATGGTCACCCCTCACTGCAAAAGAGACCCATGAGTAGAGGGGAGCTGTGTGCCCAGGAAGACTGGAGGGAGGACCAATTTGAGTTACTGGGGTTAAAAAATTAATTGGAGGGCCCTCCCTGGTGGTGCAGTGGGTTAAAGCACGGCACTGAGAAGCTAAGGCCACTTCAGCCTGAGTTCAATCCCCACCGGATTGAACAGGCAGACCGGAACAGTCTGCCTGTTCTGCTCCCCACTCTGTCTCTGGTGAATCCTCTCACTGACCCTACGCCTCTGGCCTATACCCCAGTTCTGTATGCATAAATAAATGAGTCTTTAAAAAAATTAATTGGAAAAGAACCTGAATTTGTCTGTCATGAGATTCTGACACATGTGAATATACCAGCAGACCTTGAGGTCGGTGGTGGGTAGCTCAGAGAAAGATAAAAGCCACCATTTAGATTTAGCTCCTGAAAAAGAAGCCTGATTTTATCTAGCAGTATCCCCTTATCCTCAGGGGTATCTTCCAAGACCCCCAAGGATGGATGCCTGAAACTGCAGATAGTATGAGACCCTATATGTACATGGTGTATCTTGCTAAGATAAAAGGCCTCACTCTCGAAACACCTTATGTGTGTAATGTTTCCAGACTGTGGTTAAAGGAGGGATGGGGGAACAAGACTGTAGCTAAGGGAAACTACTGTGCTTCTATATCAAAGCTTTTAAGAATATCTTCATTCATGCACACAGGCCTGAGGTGCAGGGGGTGAGAGGATTCACCAGAGACAGAGTGGGGAGCAGAACAGGCAGTTCCACTGAAATACAGTGCTGAGGGGAGCAGTGGACAGGACAGCACAGGTCTGCTGTGCCCTTGTGGGTCACTCCCTGCCCGGGGATCGAACTCGTGCTGTAGTGGCTGTGGACAGCCTCATAGTGCTGCGACTTAAACCTATAATAAGAAGTTTTAACATTTTCACACCATGATACCCTTTGAAAGTCTGATAAAGCCTTTCTCAGTAGATATTTTTAAATGCATAAAATAAAACACATAACATTACCAAAGCATGCATTATGTACAATTTCCCAAACATTAAATATCTGGGCTAAAGTATATGTTGGATGTGGCGATGAGCTGCCAAGATCCCTCTTCAAGGAAGGACTTGTCGCTCCAGCTCCTGGGGGTGCTGCAGCAAACACCTTTCAGAGTGTGGAGGAATCACCTCAGCAGCAAGAGTCATATCCCGGGAGGCCTGTGTGCAGAGGCTGATTAGGGTCCCCAAAACAATGGAGGTCAAATGTAGTCCTTATCTGTCCGTGTCGTACACGTTTAATCTTTCTGGCTCATTGCAACCCTGCTTCTCTTCAGTGGAGCCTAAAATAATGGTGCCCGCCCTTTGCCCATTCAGTATGGGACTTACAAACCAGTAGTCAATGTAGTTCTGTGCCGAGTCCCAAAAACCCCAGGGGCAGTCTGTGTGGTTTGTCATCACTGCCGGAAAATGTGCAGGTTCATTTGGACCTGTTTTTTGTTAGGTAACCATAGTTCCCAATATGGGCCCAGTCATGCAGGCTGGTTTTGGCTAAGTGACCGGAAGGATATTCTAGACTTCTTCAGAGGAGAATGTGGCATCTTGCCACATCCTGGTGTTGATCCTGAGATGAAATGTGTCCCTTGGAGCTGGCAGTGGCTGTGTCTAGATGTCTTGGGCATCTCTGAAGCTCACCTGTGACTTCTTGAGCCTCTGTATTACTATTTTCTTACTTTCATTAGCATCTTTCGTGAGTGCACCTTCTGTAGACTGTGAATCCTTTCACTAATCCAAAGAGGCATAATTGTTGCTCCAGAGAAGCAGATGGGTGCATTTATCATAATGACGGGTGAGGTTGGAGTCAGCCCAGGGCCTGACCTCCAGAGAGCTGGAGACTTGGGTAACAGGACACAGACTTCCGGGGGCAGGTGGGCAGCCAGAAAGGGTATATTCAGCTTGTGCCATCAGAAGAAACCCAGGGTGAATGATTAGGAAGCTAAGGCAGTCAATTCAATAAAAATCATGTTTCTTGGCTCAGTTTTCAGACCTGAGCCAATTTTCAGGTCCAGAATTAATTGATTGGAAAGAAGGCCGGCTTTCCATGAAGAAGGCCCGTGAAACACCATGGCAAGTGTATATACTGGACAAAGAGCAGTACCCAGGTATTTTGGGGAGCACTGGACACAAGCGATGCTGACACCCAGAGGGCTATCATATCATCACGGTCCTCATCCGAGCGGGAGACATGTGATGACCACAGTCCTCGCCACAACAGGATGAGCTGGAATCTATTAGCCCGCAGACCCCTGCGAGTCATCATTTCCACAGTTCTCATGTGAAAAGTCGACACAGACATATTTGAC